GTCTATTTACTTGTGACCACACAGTGTACAATTAGTGAAGGGCATTGCTCTTGACATCCTGAAACAAGGTCATATGTAACAATTTTCTCCTCAGGTGGCAACAGGATACACCTAACCATAAAAATTGCAAAGGAATAAAAGTAACTTGAAACAAAAACAATTTAATGGTACTTCTTGACCCCATATTATGTGAAAACCTACACATACTCAGAACAAAGAATAAATTCAAAGTAAATATTAATAATACAGAAAGAAGAAACTTATGATATGTTCCTATATAAGACTATTATATGCTTGAGGAGTTTGTCACTGTCTCTCCATCCAATAATCTCCTCAAGGTTCTAATAATATAATCCAGTCATTAGATTTAAGTAAAAACTATCCTTCAACTCTAAAAAGACAATGGAAGTTTCTGTTCCTAATTCTAAGCTTTGTTCTACATTAAATGTATATTATATTATACTTTAGATATGTGTGAAATGTTGTATGTTATACATTAAATATTGTAATAATAATAATAATAAGGTCTTTGCTAAAGCAAGTATCAATAGGAAAGCTTAGAATAAAAAAATGAAAGTATATATCTGCATTCCTGGGCCTAATGTTGCTACTAGCAAAATTTGCAGTAATAATAAGCCTTCAAACCTAAAAGTATAACATCTGAATTAACCTGATAAAAATATTCTGAATTGTCTACACAAGATTAAGTGACAGATAAATAAGTAAACTACATATCTGTAAAAAATCTCCAGGTAAGTTGTGAATAATCTACCCAAGGCCTGGTAATGAAAAAATAAATAAATAATATACTGCAAGATTTTACTATTCTTAATTTCTTCATACTCCTTACTTGGTGCTTACTAAGAAATAATTAAACTAATAAGCATGATTTTTCCAGCATATAACAGAATTATTCAATCATTGGTCATGAGCTATTGTTTCCTTAAACTCCTACTGATTGAGCATTGTAGAATTGTGTGATATTCTTTATGTGTTAAAAAAAATCATCTTTTTAACATTCTCAGCATATATATTGATTGTTGACACTCCACAAAAGTTTATGCTGTATGCTCTTATAAATACTGCTTAAAAGCTAATTACTTGAAATACATTTCACTTGCACCTATCCATGTGTGTGTGTATATATATATAATAAAAAGATTTCAAAATAGAAACTGTTTTTATGAAATTTCTTTAGCTAGTGGCAGAGTGTTCACCTTTGGGAGTAATGAATGGGGTCAACTTGGTCATGGACACACTAAATTACTTCACAAGCCTACTTGTGTTAAAGGTAAGGTATAGAGTTATCAGATGTAATGAATTAGATAAGTTATAGAAGTTTTTTAAGTTGAATTATTTTATATTGATTTCAAAATCATAATACGAACTTGAAATGCAGACAACATGAGAAAAATGGAAAATAACACTAAAGTAATCATAAGATATGTGTGGTTTGAAACAACCTGTCAATAATATTATGAGTTAGCAGGATTAATATTTCAGGCTTAAAGCAAATCTGGCACAAATCTGAAAAGATACAAAAGTTTAACTTACCTATTTGAAAGAGCATACATAGATTAGTGGTATGTATGTAAATTGAAGATTAGTAAAATAACATTGCCTTTCTAGTTATGGATACTGATCACAATTCAAAGTCATCCAATACACTTCTATGGACTACATGCTATAATAAGCTTTATTATTACAATTGTGGCTTATACTTTAGCTAAAAATGTAGTTAAAATGTTTTTTATTCAGATTTGTAGCTGAAGACTTGAAATGAACCTATGCTAAGTATTCTATGTTTAAAATTATCTCAAACACTATGCTAGAAAACCATTGTTTTGTTAGCATTCATAATATACACCATATGTCATTGTTTGTTATTTCCAACTACTTCTGTGCAAGCTATTTACTTATGATTTGCATTTTCACTCCAGTAAGATTTATCCAAACAAAAGTTTAATAAATGTACCTTGATGTTTTTAAGGTTTATGTACTACCTAAATGTTTCATGTTTGTGTCTTCTTAAACTTTAATACTTTGTTTTCTTGTTTTCAATCCAAAAATGGCATTGAAATTATAACTTTTTTACAAATAACTATATAAACAACCCAAAAATGGTGGCCCATACCAAATACCATAGAAATTCCATGATTCTAACATACTGAATTGACATAATATTGTTACGACAGCGGAGGTCATGTGACGCTAGTAACACGGCACGTGCTTCTAGAACGTTCATGAAGCGTCAGGAGACTACTAGATATGGGGTAGTCTTGTATATATAAGACCGGCCAAGAAGCGATGTGAACAATGTGTAATTGAACTGCGGACAGAGTATTGTTGAGTCGAGCACGTGAGACGTTCATTGTGAATTATAGCGTTTGTTATAGCATGACTGTTGAAATTAAGTGTATTGCAAAGTTGTTTTCAGAAAGAATAAACCAGTTTTATTTAAGAAAATAAAGAGGTGTGTAAAGTTTCTTCGGAAAGAATTTTTATTGAAAATTAACTAACGACCAGAGACGTAACAATATGATGGTGGCCCAATTTTAGCTTTTTTATTACAAGTTTTAAGTGTAAAATTTTTATTTTTGCAAAACTTTTGCTCAAAAAATGATATTTAGAGGAGTTGAAAAATGCACTTAATGCAAGTATTGAACAGAGTGGTTTATGTTTTTTGTTAATATTTTCTGTATATACCATTAAAAGTTAAATAAACTTGGATATTGTTACTACTGTCAAATAATGGATTATATATATATATATATTTATAATTTGTGGTTTAACACAACAGTTGTCAATATCTTTTTATTACTGACCCCAGGCCTTAAGCAAGAAAGAGTAATACTAGCAGCATGTGGAAAATCTCATACTTTAATTGCAACAGGTAAGATTTATTATCTGTTTTAAATATATACCATAAAATGGATTGTTGAACTCCATGATTAAGTATTGAAATCCATTGTTTGTTTGGGTTTTTTTAATTATTTTCCTCTACTGGGTCAGTAAACCATACTCACCTCATATGTACTAAATCTTTGGTGGTGAAGTTGGTTAAAAGGAGAGTATTAAAACGTTGTTAGTTATGGCTAAAATAATAAATGACAATCTTATTAGCTTCAAAACAGTTTGACCACTAATATAGTGAAATTGTAAATTCACAGAAATTTTTAAGGCTCATAAGTTAAAATTTAGGAACAAATAAAGTTAGAAACAATTACCTTTACTCTCCAGGGATAGTGGACACCACTTTTATTCAGTTAACTTGTATTGAACTTTTTCAGAATTTGTAGTACATACTGGAGGGATTTAAACGTTTTGGCAATAGAATTAGAAAAAATTATCTTTTGTTTCCAGATAATATAAAAAAAATTAATTATTACCTGTAGAGTAAAGGTAATTTTTTCTACCTTTATTGCCAAGATGTGTTGGACTTTATTTGGTTTTATGAAATGTCAATGAAGATGAGGTACATTAGTAGCAGTGTGTGTGTGTGAATACTTCAGTAGCAGTGTGTGTGTGTGAATACTTCAGTAGCAGTGTGTGTGTGTGAATACTTCAGTAGCAGTGTGTGTGTGTGAATACTTCAGTAGCAGTGTGTGTGTGTGTGAATACATCAGTAGCAGTGTGTGTGTGAATATTTCAGTAGATATTATGTCCACAAGAATCTTTACAATGAAAGAAAAATGACTAATTACACTATGACATTTTAATGTTATATAAAAGAGTTTTTGCCAGAACATGATAAACAGATGAATTGTATATTATGACCTAAGAAGGTGTATAAGTTTTTACTACAGAAAGGAGCATGAATATGGTATGACATAGATCGTAACCTAATAATGTATATGAGCTTTTACCACAGAAGTGCCAAATTAGACATGGGGAAGCAAATTTAATCCTTGTTTTTATAAACTTGCTGTAAAAATTTGAACCATTAATGGTTTTACTGCTATAATTACAACTTCAGATTTAGTTCTATGCTCATTATCATCAGAAAACTAAAAATTTCATAATTTACCATTATAACCAAAGTTTTACATTTGTTAATTATCATAAGAATATTTAGTAATGATTTGTTTAATATAAACTAGCTTTACTATTAGCTTAGTAGCTAGTTAGTAGCCTCATAAGCCAGTTAAAGGTTCTTTAACTTTGAACTTTATAACTCAAACTGAGACTATAATCATAAAAGCATTTGTATGTGAAAAATTCTGTTCCACAATGTTCTCTGATATTGCCTTAATATATCAGTGGTCTTGCACGTGTGTGTGTATATATATATATATATATATATCACAGAAGAAAAGTTATTAATGTAATTTATTGAATACCTAGAAGAGTTTGAAATATTGACTTTTGATTCTGAAATAGCATTTTGTCATTTTTCACAAAAGCACCTTTTATTGCTTTAGTCCACTTATTCAAGTTACACAGTTTAAAGGACTTACATCTAAGGTCTTTGAATATTGTAATTTTTCTAAGTTGTTTGAAATAAGATTACCAAAAACATACAGTCACAAAATTTGAAATACAAGTGACTTCGTGCCCTTGAATTTCTGTGATTTAGAATATCATTTATTTCTGTATCATATACTTGTAAGCATATTCTAAATAAAATGTTATAATATGCATATCGTGACTTATTCTGGTTAATTTTATCATTTTAATTTTTTAGCTTTTTTTTTTAAGGAACATAGGATTAAAGAAGAATTTGAAATCAGCTATGAGATTCCCAAAATGTTATCTTGGAGAATCTCTGGGAACTCTTTAATTCCAAAATGGCACTACCTTATCTCACAAAAAGCTATCTCAACCTTGATTTGCCCTCTAAGCATTGCTAAAATTTCAAACAGTGTACTAGTCTTTTATACCCCTTCATTTTTGTGCCATTGCAGCAACATGTGCTGATCATGTGACTACCCTCCATGTGACTACAGCATAATCCTCACTTTCTTGATTGGCATTACAGTGTATAGACGTGTGTTTACTTTGTTCTTCATGTGACTCCTTACTTACCAGTTTCAACTTAATGTTTTGAATTTAGTTTGCTTTCGACATTTCATTTACTTTTGTTTTCGACAGTTTATTACATTTTTTGAAGTTGAATTTTGAATTCGAGTTTTACTGTGGTGGATGAAGACATTGCCCGCAATACTGAAGACAGTAATGTCACTAGTCCCCAGCATGGCAAGTTGATGATGTCTGCAGAGGAAGTTTAAGCTTTAATTCACAGGGAGTTGGATGTTTTTGCTAGATCTTTGGTTCATTCTTCTTTTCCCCATGAACTTGCTTCTGAGAAGACTTTCATCAGCATGAAAACAATTTAGACTCTCTTTTTCTGGCTCCAATTTTTTTGGTCAGTCTCATAATGCTGACAGTCAGAGGAGTTTACCAACCTCACCTTTCTTACACCTTATTGATCAGTTATGTCAAATTTTAAATGTTTCACCTTTAGCCCTTGATTCTCCTTTTTTCTTGTTAGGTGAAGAACCTTGTTCTGATTATTATGTTTATTCTCTCTCAGTCAACATTCTTGTTCATGCTCAATGTTTAATTGATCACTTGCTGTCATGTGTGGTATGCCCCGTCCCCCTTTGCTGTTGGACCAGTATTCTTTTGCTTACCAACGTGCCTCAAATGCCTATTTGGATTCCTAATGTCTGGATCCTATCCTTCCCTTATGGGTCTCGAATCCTAAAGCATTGATCCATTTTAACTGGTCTCAGTTTTCTAGGATTAGCTTTGCTTTGAACACACTTTTACATATTAATTCCTCCTTACAGTTGTTGTCTCAAGCCTTCTGCTAGTCACCTGATTAATTTTTTGCTGAACTCAGGGCCCTCCTGTGGTCTACCATGGCCAATTTGTTGGTTTCAATGCTGCCTCTCAACACCTGGTTATTATGTTGTTGGGGTTTGCTCGGAAGGGATGCATTACTTGTGGGGGTGCATCTCTAGTTTGTATCTACAAATTCACGAAAGTGAGGATTGTGCTGGAATGGTAAAGGGTAGTATAGTATAGGTGGTGCACTATAATTGGTGGAGGGTAGCCACATGATCAGCACATTTTACTGCAGTGGTGCAAAAACTAAATGGTATAAAAGACTGGTGCATTATTGGAAACTTTAACAATGCTTAGAGTGCAAATCAAGGTCGAGATAGCGTTGGGTGAAAGGAGGTAAGTACCTATCGGAAATACATTTTCAATGTTAGATAATGTTAACATTTAAGTTACATTGTTTCAGAATGATGTGTGTAGGTCTTTAGAAGGGTAATTTGTCTCCAGTACTTCAGATGGGAGGGTGGTATATGAGTTGCATCCTGTAATCCTTTATTCTGAAACAAATATTCACTTCCACACAAAGAATAGCTTATTTTCCTCTTGAGTTCACATCATATGACAAAGAGATTTGCAAGCCATCAGCCTTGTTGAAACTCCCATGTGAATTTGCGCCACTGCATAATGATGTAATCATGTAACAGAACCCTCCATCAATAGGAGTGTGACACACCTCCACGCACAGTGATGCCCTCTACATTCATGCCCGTGAATCCTCATTCTTTTCCTTGGCACTTTCATGAACAGATGTGTTTGAGTTTGCTGAGATTAGCCACAATTACAATTTTTAACATTCACTTGACTGAGTTTAGAAATACTCAATATGAATTCAGTTTCATGTGAACTCTTCTTCTGCTGATGCGAGTGAACATATTACTCATAGTGAGTAAACTTCTTTATCTGTGGAAGATGAGACAGCTATTTTTCAACATTTGGTGGGGTCCATGATACAGCCAGGGTCCTCTGCTTCAATCTCTTCCACTCACTTCCCTTGCCCTTCCTTCGAGCCTGAAATTGTGGAGGACAAATTTGAGCAAATATTTTTCTTCTCTAAGTTTTACTTTGGGAACATTCTTCCATACTGAAGGATAGTATCAGTCTTCCTCAGATTTTCAAAGCCTTATTATCCTATATCCTTTGACTCTTCTCATTCTCTATTACACAACCCTTCCTCTCGTGATTTTTTGGTTTTCCCTCCTCCCTAGACATTGCTGTACATGCCACTTTCTAAATCAACTTCATTCATGCAAATTTATGCCCCAATCCCCTCACATGACTGATTTTTATGTTCTTGCTTATGGTCCATCAAATCTTTGGAGACCCTCTTGCCATTTTTTTTTGGGGGGGTGGCTTCGTTATTGGCTGTTTACCTATCTAGTGCCCAACCTACCCGACTTTGAGTTTTCTTACTGCCTTTCTTAGATACCTATCCTCTCTTCACCTTATAATGGAAGCACCTCACCATTGGCTCATTCCACCTCTTCTGTTCTTTCTTATTTTGTGGCCCAGCATGGCCAGGTGGTTAGGGCGCTCGACTGTCTTCCTCCCTCTGATACCTTTGTTTTTCCCTTTTTCTTCATCTGAAGGTTTTTGATGGTGTCCCTGATTCCCACTATCAATTTTACCTTACTTTCCTAAATTCCTGTTTGTCCCAACCTCACCCTTCCACTTCTGTCCTTTGCTCTAGCCCTTCTTCTGCTCCCTATTCTATTCCTGTATCCTGACCTTCCATCTCTTCTCATTCTACTTCCATCCAACATCTCATCTACCAGCCTAATTGCCAATGAACATCCAGTTAGTTCATAACATGTGGGAGTCCAACTATCTCTGTTTGAAGACCTTTAAACACATTTCTTTGCTAACAGATGGGTAACTGAAGTGCCTTCCCACATTCTTTCTCTTCACCTTTCTTCCCCCTCCTCTTCTTTCCCAACCTTCTGTCTTTCAATACCCATCTGATCCAGCCTACTTTCTTCATCTAGAGGGGACAGTACAGGATTTGTTGAAGAAACAGGCCATCGAGGAAGTTTACGATCTCTCTCTAGGTTATTACTCCCTCCTCTTTGTTGTCACAAAAAAGTTGTGACTAACACCTGGTTATCAATGTTTCCTCCATCAATCATTCTGGATTGTCCCACATTTTCAGATAGAGAATTTTTCTCTCTCTGTTGGTCTTTTCAGCCTGGCATGTGGATGATAAAGTCGATGTCTTGAAAGCCCTTCTCTACATCTCAATTGCCCTATTCTCAAGACATTTCTCTAATTTGTTAATGGGAATCACAGTTTCCATTTTCATGCTCTTCTGTGTAGCATCAGCCCCTTTTCATGATCTGGGTCTGTGATTATATTTCTACATGCTCAACTGGCTTCTCCTTCCCCATTTCCAGGCACAATCCTCTGACCAAACTTCTCTTGTTCTTCATGAAGACACTCTCTCAGGGTGGCTCATCAAGATTTCCATGTCCTTCCTTATCCTGACCTAATATCTCATCCACCTGGAAAATTTTTTCATCTGTCACCTCAGCATTGCCCAACCTTCTTCAGTGTGCTTATGGAATCTAGGGCATCTGGTCACCAAATTTCACACCTGAACTTCACATTCAGCACTAGGGGTTCTTGTTCTCTTTCTATGTTTGGGACTATAACTTCTGTGGAACTCCTCATACATATGCTTCCCCTACAGTGGGTATTGCTTGACCAATGTAATTTTTCAGGGATCCACTATCCTCACCAATACTCCTCTCTCCTTCTCTACTATAGGATTATACTTGGTGGTTAGACCACTTCAATACTACCTCTGGCATTCCCTTATCCCTTACCTTCTCCCAAACCAGACCTTCACTTTTTCACAGATGCTTCTCTCTCTCTTGATGGGGAATGTTCCTGAATGACTATCTTACTTCAGGTTCTTGGACCCTGGAGGAGTATTCACTACACATCAACATCCTCAAACTGCTCACTGTCTATTGGGCATGCTCTAATTTACTTCCCCTCCTTGTGGATCATTTTGTAATGATCCTCTCTGACAACTCCACAGTCACATCTCATATCAACCACCATAGAATCACCTGTTCCAGGACCCTCTGCTTTCAGGCATTGGACCTCTTGGGCCCATTCCAGTTGGGTGAGTGTAATAGCCTGTCATATTCTAGGTGTACTGAACATCATCATGGATTGTCTTTCTCATTGAAACTGCATCCTACCCACAGAATGGTCCCTCCATCCTCAAATATTCCATTGTATCTTCTCCCAACTTAGAATTTTCCTCATAGATGTCTTTGCCACATCCTTAAATAGCAAACTTCCTTTCTTTTGGTCTCATGTACTGTACCCATCAGTCCTGGCTATCTAAACCCTCAGACAGGGCTGGTCCCATCTTTTCCTTTATGACTGTCCTCCTTTCTCTGATTTGGGACATCTCTTCCGGAGTCCTGTTGGTAGTCCTTTACTGGCCTGCCCAACCTTGGTTTCTGTTACACTATCTTCTCTTAACCAAGCTCCCTTCCTCTTCCCAACATTTCATCCCTTTTGGTTCAATAGTATATATCACCCTTTCATCAAAAAGTGACATCCCTTCATCTTTACATGTGAGATGTTTCTGGTCCATTGCTCTTTACCACTCTTTTTGCCCTTTCATCTCTTCTGTGCACCAACATAAATAGTATGCTTATCATCATTGGTCTATCCTTCACCATTTCCACCCTGGGCAACCTACTTTATACCTCACCTCCTTCTTCACATAATTCTTAAAGCATGGCTTGTCTGTTCTCTTATCCTACTCCCATACCCGACTGAGACCTGAAATTGGTTCTTCATGCTCTCACCTGGGACCTTTTCAAACCCTTTACAACATGCTCCCTATGTTGTCTGTCTCAAAAAACCTATTTCCTTATATACTTATATTTTTATTACTCACAACTAACTTACTATAGGATCCCACTAGGTGAAAGTGTTGCCTCGTAGGGTATACTTACCTAAAACCTGCATTTGACCAGGATAACAGAAATTACTAATTACTATATTGTCTCTCTCACAAAACCTATTTCCTTATATACTTATATTTTTCTTACTCACAACTAACTTACTGTAGGATCCCACTAGGTGAAAGTGTTGCCTCGTAGGGTATACTTACCTAAAACCTGCATTTGACCAGGATAACAGAAATTACTAATTACTATATTGTCTCTCTCACAAAACCTATTTCCTTATATACTTATATTTTTATTACTCACAACTAACTTACTATAGGATCCCACTAGGTGAAAGTGTTGCCTCGTAGGGTATACTTACCTAAAACCTGCATTTGACCAGGATAACAGAAATTACTAATTACTATATTGTCTCTCTCTCACAAAACCTATTTCCTTATATACTTATATTTTTATTACTCACAACTAACTTACTATAGGATCCCACTAGGTGAAAGTGTTGCCTCGTAGGGTATACTTACCTAAAACCTGCATTGGGCCAGGATAACAGAAATTACT